CTGGGCCCTTGGGGGTAAGGACATTCCTTTCTCCTTGTCCACAATGGATCCTTACAGGTTCTGTCTTAAAGAACAATCCATTTCCTCTGCAATAGTCGACACTTAAGGGTCTATTTGTCCAAGGCAGCCTGACCTTAGTTTCAAGTCTTCTGTCTGGGACAATGTGCCCTCTTCCAGAGGCTCTGTGGGTCCCGATATACTGCAGCACTTCTGGGGCCACAGATGTCACAGACTCCAGAGACAGTACTCTTCAAATGCCCTCTGCTCCCAGCCTCAACGGTTAAACGGAGAGCCCTGTCTTTACGATCCACTTCAGCCCATAGCTGCAGGGATTTTCATCAGACTCCATCTACCAGTACACACAGAACCTGCCGCAGCTGCTAACTGCCAGTTCCTCCATTTAGGTGCTAGATGATGTATTCATCAAGAGCCTCTTTTGACCTCAAATACCCTAAAGTCCTCTCTCTAAAACCATTTCAATTACAAATTCTGCTGGAGACTAGAATGACGAGGAAGACCAGGGGGGGAAATCATACGATGCCAAGAGTGTTTGGGAGGATTTAATTGAGGGCATAAAATCTTAAATAGTACAAATAATCTCAACTCATTTCAGTCCAGACCAGATGACAGGGCAAGTGAGCATGAATTAAAATTACAGATAAACACATTGGGAACAGATGTTGGCAAGAATTTTTTCCCCAACACCGAAAATCTTAAACATGCCACAAAAACCCTCCAAAGTCACTGGCAACCTTGAAGATACAATTAGAGCAAAATTATGAGGGGAATAAAACCCTGAGATGTGTGTCAAGAATTCTGGAATGTGTCAAATGATCAGTGTCGTTTCCTGGAGCAACTGGCGGATGCACAGTCAAGGTTCGTAGCTTTTTGCCCCCTTTTAACTGAGACCACTGCCAATTCAGGGGCACTCTTTTTTCTGCTGAGGTTACATTCACACTTTTATTACTTCTTCCGGGCACAGGCATCGGTGTCACTCCGGGGCCCACTCCCCCTTCACCACCTTATGGGCTCACACTTTACGTGGTCAGGCTCCTGCTACAGTCATTGCCTTAACGTCATGAGGAAGGTAAAGAAATTTCACACTGCCGGCACAAACTGTCCTGAAGCATCAGAGAGAAACTGCAACGGGGAACGGGGATGTTCTGGGTGGTACTGGATACCTTGGGACCTCAGCAATTGCAAAATGGCCTCTTCCTGCCAACGTCCATCACTTCGGGTCTTTTGGCAGGTATCTTCCCTAACTGTCCTATTGTCCCTTCCTTAGGGACATCCCGGGTGTACCAACAGCCATGTGGCTTTAACCACCAATTCAGCTGATTACCTTCATTTCCCTTTAAAGGGCCCAGGAATTCGTTACAGCATGTGGCATGGCCCAAGATTTATAGAGACAAAGTGCCACGCCCCTAGAGTCTGGATATCAGTTGTGTTGGTACAATGAACATCGTAAGTCAGTCCGAGCCTGTTACTCTTAACTCTACAGTCTTACGTTTAATTCCCACAAAGAGAAAAACTCAGTGAAGATCTTCATCTCTCTCCTGGATCAGTCAGGGGGTGGGGGGCAGAGGCAAAATGTGTAACCATATAAGAAAATAGGCATGACTCGAATAAAATGAGTTTCAGAATCATGTCACCAAGTTATAACTCGAGCAAAATGGTCAGAACTCAGCAAAATGGGTTCAACATTATTTCCTATGTGAAATATACAGAGTCTATTGAATATCTGGTACTGAAAATCACTTCCTTCCAAGTCACTGACCTGACAGTGATAGAATTATTCTATGTGGTAAGAATGTATTTTCACCTACCTTATCTCCTACATTTAAAGAATTCATAAAATATAATCATTGAAACAAATGCAATTTTAAAAGTTAGAGCACGTTATACATATCATATAGCCAGCCAACTGGGGCCAGAAAGCACAGAGCACTCTCTGTGCCTTCTCAAATTCCCAGTCTAAACCTGCTCAGGTAGGACGGCTCATCGGAGGCCTAATGAAGACAAACCTCAGAAAACTTCCATTCCCCAAACAGACCCAAGGAAGATTGTGACTCAGATTGCTAAAGAATGATAAGCTCTCATGGGGTGATTTTCCTCAGACTAATGACCTGACATCAGACAGAGAGAGATGATAAATATGCTAATTGAAGGGCCTTCATGGAGGTATTGAGAGAGGCTACAACCACTTCAGTTTCTGTAATCAATAACAGCAGGGTGGCAGAAACCATACATACAGCTGAAATCACACCACTGTGGTCATCCCTGAAATACGCATCTCAGGTCATCAGAGGCCCGCCTCTCTGCTCACTTACTGCCTGCCAGTCAGGAGACAATCTCAATTCACAAAGCAAATGGTACAGCCTCTCCATATGCAGGGTAAAAATTACTTTACATAGAAATTGAGTGTTTGTCACCTTTTCATTACTTTCTGTTTTAGAGAGGGAAAAGGATGGTGGGGTGGGGAGTGGTGAAGAACTGACTAATATGCCTTAGAAGAGGCCCACTGGGCTTTGCACGTCTTGTCAGAACAGAAACGAACCAACCCCTCCTCTTCTTGCAAGACACAGGAAACACAGAGGAAAAGGTAAAAGACAACTATAAATCCAAGGAGAAAAATATTTCCCATGGTATTAGGAAAGACTATTATGCTACTTCTAAAGATGTTCTTGGGAAATAATTGGATTAAGAGATCTGGAATAAAATTCATGGAGAGCACAGTTTGAGACAGCAGACCTTAGAGGTCTCCTGAGTTGCCTTTTTGTCAACCAACATATAAATTTTGTGTTTTCATAATAAAGAGAATAACCCACTGCACAGGAAAATGCACCTTTTCTGATTCTCTGCTGTGCAGAGCAAGCCCCAGCATGTGGACAGGCGAGCAGGATGTTCTGGGCTCTGCTCTATTTGGGATCAACAGAGGTCATGGTAGAGAGTAAATGGTGCTGAAAAGGGCCTTTGTCTAACATAACGTTCTCTTCACTCCAGTGTCTGAACGCTGAGGTGGGAGTCAAGAGGAGAAACCTAAGAAAATCCAGATATCCAAATGGGTCAAATCAACTCTTTCACCACCGTATCTTTCCTGAAAACATTCTCTCATTCCTATCAAAATGCAGAGTCGTCAAAAAGCGTAAATAACCCTGTCTGATACAGACACCTCCGAAAGAACTATCAGCAAGCAGCCCCCTCCCAACAAAGCTGGTAGTTTCCCGCCTCAGAAAGCAGCAGATAGGAGAAGGAAGAAAAGCCCCGATTTCACAAATTGGTCCTAGCTATGATCTAATCTAGGAAGTGTTACTCCTGCCTCCCACTTTTCCCTCAAAGCCATGTCAGGTTTGGTAAAAGCCACCAGGTTGCAGCAATGGGGCCTTGAATGAGTCTATTTTTCAATGAGAGGTCACATCTGTCAACATCTTCACTGGTAAAGGCGTGCACGCCTTCTGGAGAAGTATTAGCAGAAGCAGTGGCACGAGGTCTATTGTAAATTGGGTCAGAGCAATGACATTCCTCTTGAATTTCTGTGGGATAATCAATGATTCTGCTCTAATGAAACCATAAATCAGGAAGGATTTACATAAACTGAGTCTCACTTGGCACTTCAACAAATAGCAAGTAACGGATTTTGCATTAAATTATAAGACCTACCTAACAACCCTATCCGTTACCAATAAATGCATCCCTCTGAAAATTCCAGTCAATCTTTAGGTGTTTCTAAAGCATCCTGGCTGCAAACATGCTTATTTCCAAAAGGCAGAAAAATCAGGGCAGATTTTCTGATGGCATCGTTAGCTATTCTTGGCTATCAACACACTACGTTTTCCTAGGAATTTTACCAAAATACAACTTTCTAAAGACCAAGCAGAGAAATCTCTGCATAAGCTGAACACTCCATGATAAAATATACAACATTTCTATAGATCAGAAGATGCTAGAGGAGAGGATCAACAAATTACAGGTTGCTACCTGTTCTTATAAATAAAATTTTATTTGAATAGCCACACCCATTTATTTACCCATTGTCTCTGCTACTTTTGCAAAACAGCTGAGTTGAATATTTACAACAGAAACCTTCTGGCCCACAAAGGCTAAAATGTTTACTTTGTGGCCCTTTACATTAAATATGTGCCAACTCTTATGCTAGAGAAAAACGAGAAAAAAGTGAAATATAAGGTAACCAGAGCTAAATCTGCTATGCTGTAGAAGCTTCAAAAGGAGCCAAAAAGGATCAACTCCACGGGTATTTGAGAATGTGAAGAAAGATGTGTGACAGGTATAGTTTCCAAAAAATAGATAGGAGTTTAACCAGATTTGTTTTGTAAGATTTTAAATGAATTTTAGGTTCTCCTAATCCATGTAAATCTGCCAGGGCAAGACCTTTCAGAAATGAAGGGATAGCTGATCCACAATTTGAAGAGGACAAATTTTGGGAAAGGAGAAAATTCCAGGAAAAGGAAGCAAAACAATTTCTGCTCCAGAATGAATTAGCAATTAGGTGTTACTTAGCTAAAGCTTTTTTCCTTGCACGAAAGTTAAAAAGTTGCATATAATCCTATAAATAAGGATCCACTAGAAATCCCTGTCTGCTAGATACAGGAATTGGTCCATGGAAAGGCTCAACAGTCTGCTTGCCAATGCCACTCATGAGAAAAATGTAATAATGATAATGGTTATAATAACCATTATTGCAAGAACTATCATTCTTTTTATAGGAACTGTCACTCATGGAACATTTATCACATGCTAAGCATGATGCTAGGTACTTATGCATTTTTGCATTTAACCCTCCCAGCAGTCCTGTGAAAGACTATTATCACCCTCAGGTTTAGAACTGCTCAGACTATGGCTGAGAAAGGTAAATAGGATATGCAAGTTTCCAAATAGCAGAGCAGAGTTTTGCACCCATGTTACGATCTTCACATTATTCATTAAGCCCTCATGCCCCCCACCCTCACCCCAAGCAGCGCTCCACCACCAAGCTCACTTACCTCGACAGACACTGCAGCACTGATTCTCTGGGAGAATGTGGTCCTTTTCTGAGCAGTTCAAAGGAGGGCATGCGTCTGTAATTTTTACTAAAACTCCACCCTGGAAGCCAAATAATCAGGAAACAAAAAAAATTCACATTTCTTAGTTGATGACACAGACATAAAATGCTCATTGTTAACAGCCTGCAGTGATAACAAGTTTCAATAAGTAATAGTACTCCTAGGAATTCCACAATAATGACAAAGTCGCAAATAGAACTTCCAGGATGACACTCCTGGAAGAGAAGGCACATTTCTTTTCCTAGGTCTACACAGCCTCAAATAACTCAAATAACTTTGAGTATCTTCTATGTAGCAGAAGGTCACTCTACAGTGGTATTGCTGGGAAGTTCACAATGGGCTGCTGAATGGGGGAGCCTTACTTTGTACGGTTTGCTGATTTCTGTGATATGAATACTGCGATGATGACCAATTTTGAATTACCAACATAGTATCACTGACCGGAGTCGGGAAGTTATGAACAATGAGCTCTCATAGGCTGCTATGAGGTAGTTTCAGTATTCCTGGATCACACAAACCATTAACGCAAAGATAATTTAAGACCTCTTCCTTGCCCTTGAGGAGTTCCTAGTCTGGATACAGGAAGGAGGGGGGCAAAAAAACCCAAAACAAAACAAAAAAATTCTCTTAACCATTATGCAGTACAGTAAGTCCTAAAAAGGGTATGATGATGTGTCATGGGAGAATGCTACTGCTTAAGTGGGAAGAAATTATAAGGAAGATGCCAAAGATGAATAAAGAAATGGGGAAGAGGAGACTTTCCTGGCAGAGGAAATAGACAAGAGCCAAGGTATCCAAGTACGAATGAACTGAATGGAGAGTTAGAGGACTATTGGATTTCTCCCTATATGTAAGTAAAATCACTTACAATAGATTTTTAAATATTCACCTGATGAATCTTTAAGACCTCATTTCACCAAAGGTTGTCTTTGGTGGCATTACTAGCATCTGTATTTAGTTGTACTGTGAACTCTAAATATTAGTCCATTAATTACTATAAAAAAGGGTTTGAGAGTCTTTTATTTTATCTAAAATGTTTAGCTTTTCTCTCCTCTTCCTAAGAGGCTATTTAAGTCAACTAAGAAGCCAGCTTGAGAAAAGGAGTCTCACTTAAGACCAAAAGGTACTTCTCAAAATAAATGAGGGAATGGGATGGAGCTGGCTAGCCAGGAGAGATGGGGGCGATACAGAGGTTTCCATTTCTGAGACACTAGCATTCCAGTGGCCCACGGTCCACTGGTTTCGCAGGAAACCATTTCATCAAGCACATCTACTCCTAACTATGAACCTAAACAAAACTCTAAACATCAAATATAAATTTAATTTCTAAACGACTCATCCACCATTTGGAAAATTTGCACCATGGTTTCCTCTCCTGTCTCATTATTTTCAGCCCCAACAGTCCTGCTTCCAATATTCCTTGCAGTGTCTTCTTTTTGTCCTCCTTGCCATTCATTTTCTATCTGTCCCAAGATATCCAGATCTCTTGCTTTTCTCCCATCTTAAAACGGGACTTAAGATGTGAGAATACAGGGGCGCCTGGGTGGCGCAGTCGGTTAAGCGTCCGACTTCAGCCAGGTCACGATCTCGCGGTCCGGGAGTTCGAGCCCCGCGTCAGGCTCTGGGCTGATGGCTCAGAGCCTGGAGCCTGTTTCCAATTCTGTGTCTCCCTCTCTCTCTGCCCCTCCCCCGTTCATGCTCTGTCTCTCTCTGTCCCAAAAATAAATAAACGTTGAAAAAAAAAATTAAAAAAAAAAAAGATGTGAGAATACAGCCTGGTACCTGTGCACCTTCACTCTCCATCACAGCTATGTTCCATTGTCATCCAGGCCATACTGGGGGGGCACCTAACCTTGAGAGTGGGCACTGGTCCTAGGCCAGGGTGCCTACCAGCTGTGCCTTAATTTCTGCAACAGGACACTGAACCAATAGACATTAATAACTTTATGATCAGCAGCATAAGCTTTCATGCACAGGAAAGCAAAATGCTTACTTACTGTTAATGCCTCTACAATATCTTTCAATACCAATGTATTTATTATCTACTGCCTCCTCGCAAAAACAGGAGTGACAGAAACTGCTGAATCCCCTTTATGAATTCTGTGTGCCCAACCCCCACCATCTGAATGCTTTTCTGCTAATGGCTCATCCTTGCCACCCTCAGATAGTATTCTGGGCATTGGCACCACTTTGCCACACAGAGAGCAGACAGAGTTACCCACAAGTTATACATCCCCACTGCCACAGCCCAAAGCCAGGGAATGACAGGCATGGGAGGCTCTTTACCTCAAGGGCACACAATAGTTGGGGTCCAATTAGTATTCCAGCACCCCTCCTGGAACCAGAGTATTTGAGGCCTTTCAGCCCAAATCCCACCCTCGCTCAGTTCCTTGCCTTACCCCATTCTGCATCCTCCACACCCTTACTGGTTGCTTCTGAGAGCCCTACCTTGTTCTGAAATCCTTAGTTCAGGGTCTGCTTTTAGCGGAAGTCAAATTGAGACAATAAGATAAGTTTTATTCTTGCTGTCAAAAAGGCAACTGTTTAAAACAATTACGTCTAGATGGTGAGATCCTGGGGCGATTTCCTTTTTCATCCTTGTAATTTTCCTCTATGTTCAAAATTTTTTATCTAGAGTGTATATTTGCTTTTGTAAAAAAAAAATAATAATAATAATACTTAAAATGCCATGAAGACTTTTTTTAATACAATCACTCACAAAAGTTTTTTTTTTTTTTTTTTTATGAAAAGGGCTTGCCTTGGCTGATTAAATCAGACAATTCTAATCAACCTTTAACGTATTTAATGAGCAAGATCGTAATTTGAAATGTTTAAATAGAGACAAACCCCGTTGCATGATCTTGAAATAGTACGAACTGTGATTACAGTACCGAAAGTGCCACCACATCCATTAGTCCAGCCACATAATTAGGCACAAAACCTTTTTTAACTTTATTTTTAAAACTATTTCTAGTGAGAAGTATCTGATAATTAACATTTTAAACCCTCCTGATTATGGTATGTTATTTTATGACCCCTAGGACTCTGTGTTGGTAGAAAAATACAATGCCTCCATTCTTTCTCATTTAGAGTGACACTCTCTAGGTCATCGGTCAAATATAAACACTTTCAAGTTCTTTACTAATCACTGTGTTTCAGCCTGAATTTCTAATAACAACTCACATCGTTAAGTCAAAAATTGTTGCTGGCCTGAAGAAATGTTGCGGGGCAGCAATAATTGGACAAAGTAAGCAAGACTACTAGAAGAGCTTATTCATCTTAAAAAAAAAAAAATATGTTAACTTCTAAAAACACTTGGTGAAAATATTTGAAACAAGAGTTTGTTTCTTATCTAATTGGTGTTGCTAAGGTTTTAAAATGATCCTAGGAAAATGAAAATGAAAGGACCTCTAGGCAGCATTTTGTCAACCAGTATAGATGCCTAGGAGAGACATTAACTCTTTACATGCAACAGGTACCATTGGGCATCAGGGTTTAAATCTTAAGAAAGGCTGCCTGGGAGGGACTCAAAGCCTTGGCATCCTATGCCCATCACCTCCTCTACCTGCTGACAGCATCCATAAATGTGTCCCCAAGGCTGTTCTATGGCCAGTTATAAATACTACCCCATTCATCAAGAGAATCAATGAGCCATAGCCTCACCAACCTGGTATTCTCAGACAGACTAAAGAGTGATCATTCAATGCTTCTGGATCTAGCTTCTAAAATTCAGAAATGAGAATTATTTCCGGGGCGCCTGGGTGGCACAGTTGGTTAAGCGTCTGACTTCAGCCAGGTCACGATCTCGCGGTCCGTGGGTTCGAGCCCCGCGTCAGGCTCTGGGCTGATGGCTCGGAGCCTGGAGCCTGTTTCCGATTCTGTGTCTCCCTCTCTCTCTGCCCCTCCCCTGTTCATGCTCTGTCTCTCTCTGTCCCAAAAATAAATAAAAAACGTTGAAAAAAAAAAAAAAAAGAAATGAGAATTATTTCCAAATAAGTCTAACACCATCAGGAGTGGCAGTAGAGAGGCTGAGAAAGGAACCTGTAAAGCCAGACCACACAGGTTTAAATCCAAGCTAGCTCACTGACTACCTATGTGACTGATCTTCTGTGCCTCAATTTTCTCATCTGTGAAATGGGAATAATCATAGCACCTACCTAGCAGGGTAATTACGCGTTTTATAGAAGATAGTATGTTTAAAACGCTTTAAAAGAAGTGTCTAAAAAATACTAAATGCTCAAGAAATATAGTTGTCAATGACCCTTTTCCATACACAAAGGAAAAATTTAATAAATAACTGTAAAAAGAAATTAATGACTTTTTAAAAGATGAAATTACTCACGTGCACATATATACACACACATACCACGCGTGCAAAGGGAATAATAACCTGTCTGCCCCAACTTTTATAAACGGTAAAACTCTAAGCAAACAAAAGCAGTAAAAGACGAACCCAAGCAGGCAGAGCATCTACAATGTGCTATTAGCAGTGCTAAGTGCTATTCCAATAAGCTGGCATTTCAATCCAGGCCCACATCTTCCAGAGGTCTCCAAAGTTCTCTGCCTTGATCCTCTGACAAAAGATCGAGTCATAATTGGGACCCTTGCCAGAGTCACCTACTGTTTCTATATAAAAGATAAAGGGCATTGCTACCTCTAAGTGGCAACATAAAAGACAGATACTGGCGGGGGGGGGGGGGG